AAAAGAACATCACAACATCATTATCATTCATATATATATATAAAGAGCTCCAGGAAAAAAAGAAAAGAAAACACCAAAAACACAAAAAAGATATCTAAACATAACGGCTTCAAAAGTATAGTATTACATGTATATTGTTAACAATAAGGATAATATGTTGTACCAATTTTCATTCATATCTAACTAAATCCAATGAAAGTATCAATAAATGTTTAAGTGACATTATTTCAATCCAAGTGTAAATAGCAAGTGTTCAGGTAAAATCAAAATAACTTATATAAAAACTGTTTTTATATTTTACACTAAACATTTGTGATTATCAATTATTGTTCAGTTGCCATTAAAATAGAAAATCTTTCGAAATATACAACTAATTTATCTCAGTTTGACAAAAAAAATAAACATAATGTTAACAGCGTTAGACTGTTATATCTTGGAATAAATGTTATAAAACAGTTCAAGATTTAAAAATTTTATAAGCAAAACATTTTACAATGTCTACCATATTGGCGGTTCAATAACAAATAATGAGAAAAGTATGTAGATCTACATTAACATAATGATGATGCAAAATTAATATGTTTTTTTTTGAATAGATTAATATTCAAATTTCGATAATTTTGACTAAACATTCATTGTTTATAATTTCCAGTTTTCTATAAACATAAGACAAATACACAGACATAGACATAAACATAAGACGATTCAATTTCATGTTGAAATATTTTAGTATTAATAATCCATTTCTAAGGTTTACATAATTATGTATGTGGAGATATAAACTACCACTGCTCTTTATTGTCATAAAATAACTTTGTACGAGTGTATTCTATTTCTAACAAAATAGACGAGTAAAACCCATATTTTTAAAATGCAGATGTTTGAAGTCGTTTTTGTGAAACATGATTGTAAAATTAAAAATTATTTTAATTATTTATATCCCCCCCCAGCTGTATTATAAATCAAAGTTTATCATTTAACGAATATATTCTTCGGCAGAACATTGTACATGTAAAAAATAAATAAAAAGTGCCTTGCTTTTTTAAAAGGACTTCATCGTTTTCCAATCCATAGCACCGCCATATAATAATCTGAACCTGGCACCTATATACAATGTAGTAGGTTGCAACTTTTACAGGTGTCACGTACCATTTGTCCTTGTATTTAATTCTGAAAATAATTTTAACAATAAAGAATGTTTCAAATTTTATATAAACCAATAACAAGCCAATCCCATTCTCTTTATTTGGTTATCACAAACATACAACCCAATGTGTCAATCAATTAGTTCACAACGTATACAGCCAATAACTTTGCTCTGCGATGTCCACTTCTTGTATTTAGCGTTGATATCGTAGTCACACTTTCACTGACAGTTGCGATGTACCAAAAGAACAATTGACAATGGTGATATTTCATTCACGCAAAGGAATATAAAGGTATTTAGCAATTTCTTCTATTTTCGTATTTCAAGATATGTATTTCTTGTAAGTTAGGATATTAGTGCCATCTTTCATTCGCAGGTAACTGGATAGGTAGACAAAACTTGCTATAAAAATAGATTACTAGCTGTTGAATGTTTTCAATAACAATATTTTAATTATATATAATTATATATTATATGTGATATGTAAATGATGAAATGCCATTTACATGTATCATAAACATAACAGACATGGTAAAGTAGGGTGGCTGATTTGTGCTGTCTCGTATTTTGCTCGCAGAGCTCCAGACGAAAACAAGAAAATACAACAAAGTGGTTATAATTGTTGAGTCCAACAACTTTATAGAGAATATTTGTTTGTTTTGCATGTAAGATTGAAATATATTTCACTGAGTGAACGCCAGATGCATTATTTTCACGAGTGGCGTATACGTAGCCATAAGTGAACATAGAATAGCTGGTGTTCACGAATGAAATATATTGCAATCTTATATGTAAACCAAATAAGTTTTCTTTTTATTTCATGCTTTTCAAAGTGATTTTGCCGCGTAACGTCGCGCATTCTCCTTTATTACATCATAACATCATGACGTCACATCATCAATTTTGAAATATAGTTCTGTATAGTTCTGTTCTTTAATGTTGTTACATTTTTAATATGGTGTATGGACATATCGACTTTCTTTTACTAAAGAAGCAGAATTTAGGTATTACGGCATTTATTTTTGCCTGTTATTCCATTTAGTTATGATATTCTTTTCATCCGCATTCAGATATAGTCCGGCTACAGTAAAAATTATATTTCATAAATTTCACTAGCGGTTTATCAGAATATAATCATCTGATATATTACAGTAAAACACTGGGAAGCATGAAATAATTTGAAATACTGTGAAGTCATTATTTATAGATAATTCAACAAATTTCATCAGAAATTAAAAAAAAAAATACTAGCATATGAAAAAAACTGTTATATACGTGCTTTGTGTTAACATATTTAAGATTAGGCCATGAATTACAATTAATTTATTTGAAAATGAAGTAGTGTTTCTCGTTAGCCCTTTTTAATGTCTAGTGAGCAATTTATCTTTGTGTTCTTTTGTAATCATTGTAACAAAGAGGTGTAAATCGATGTCCTTAAGTATTTTGTAGATTTATTTAAAATTTATATAAAGCAGGGGTTTGCGCCAGTCTTGTTTTATGACAAAACGCAAAACCTTAAGAAACGAAGGAATGAAACTCAGGATCTCATATGATTTTGAATTACTTAACGACTTTGATAAGCAAAAACATGCTGTAATATATTGAAACTTCGAAATAACACTCGGTATAGTACAAATGTAAACACATTATAGACTTAAAATTATTGGTATGTCTTTGTTTAAGTTTTAAATAACATTTTAAATAACTCTTAATAAATTTTTACCTTTTAATAAAGGTCAGATGTTTGTATACACAGACATTGTAATAATTGTCTTTACAAATCTGATATATTTTATCTCATTACAAAATTGGTTAGTCTTAACAAAATGGGACTTTTATTTCTCGTATATCAGTTAAATATGACCTACCATGTTTTAACCTATATTGAGTTGCATTCTCTATTAACAAGGTAAATTCTGCAAATGGGTCCACTACTAATCAAAAGATAGCCTTTTGACAAATAATACTATAAAGATGCACACTTTTTGAGAATCTATATTTTTTACCTTTAAAATAGCGATCTATTATTTGACAGATTTTACAGTTGATATGATGTGATGTTTTAATATTTCATATTTTTAATGTGTAATGTATTTGCATACATATGTGTATGTATTTTATATAAACACATACATATATGCCCGTATTATAACAGACTTTAGTTTTAATTGTAAAATATGTAAAATATCTTAAGTCTCTAAAGAATGGCAATGTACAATGTTTATATTTTTATGTTGAAATGTATGTAATTGTGCACAGACGAAAAACTAGGGTATATATAGTATTTCCGAAAAGAAATGCCGTAATATCATACTAAAATATTTTATTCAAAATATCATAAAATCTAAATAGTGTCATTTTAAGGTCATACAACGTTCTGCTACATATATTACGAAGTTTGTATGTTATTTTTCCAAACGAAATTAAAATTATTTGTTTTAGGTAATTTGAGCTTTTCTTTAGAATTATATGTTAAGTCTAATGGGTTATTATTATATGAAGTTTTACAACATTATAAATTGTCATTACATTATATTCCCGCACATAACTTTTGATATTAAAGCAGTGCAATTTGTGTAACTGTCAATGATTAACACCTGATGGTATTAAGTATTAAAAGACTATTTACGTTTCTTACTGTGGTGAATTATCGTAAAGTAAATTTGTATTAGATAATACTATGTGCTTTGATTTTCTTGATTCTTTATACATTTCATTACTTTTAATAACATTTAACAACATTTAAAGTAACTCCATTCAGGTCTAAAAGCCTGTTGCAACGTTTTTCAATTTGGGGTCAATTTTCACAATTAGAAAAATTATTCTAGAAAAACGTAGGAAGCAAATGATCTGAAATGTTTCACACAAGTAAATGGTCTAGATATACATATTTTTTTAGTCCAGGCATGTCATAATAAGGATAATAAGTTTATATTTTTAATAAAATATTAATAGTAACAAAAGGTTATAATTTGAATAGAAACTTTGTTTTGTTACAATTTCTTGTCACTTGTTATCATTGAATAATTAAGATAAAAGAAAAAAATTCGGACATATTTTTTAAGTGGATTGCTTCCCTTGTTGAAATATTATTAAGGTCATAAAGTGTCCTTGTGTATGTTGTTGGCCGTTTACAATTTAATTGCTGTGGGGAATGTCAGTTCATTTGTTGTAGTTTTCATAAAAATGCTTATAATACCGGAATTCTCTCTTGTACACAAGACCTAGTGGTATATCTGAAGGGTTAACCCATAATTATTGTAAGAAATCATAGTTTGTGACAATATCCGGTGCTTGTTCATACACGTTAATGCAAAATTGATGTGCATATGTAGATTTAGGAAACAACCAGGAATGAAATGAATCGGGATATATTATGATTGATTAAAATTTGCAATGGACATAAGAAATAAGAAAAACAACAAATAACTTAACATGGCATATAAACAGATAATTATTATAAGAGTAAACGTATGACCGAAATAGTCGATTGCCTCCTATACAACATATAATATTAAAAATTTACGGTAAAAACGAACGTATCGCGCGCAATTATTTCCGAGTAATCCTATGTAAAATATCTGGAAAAAAAGTGAAGCTTTCGGAAAATCAGCAATATGTACATGAAAATCGTGGACGCGGTTTAATTGAGTCTGTACATCAGGGAAAATGAAAAAACTGTATTATCCCTCACGCCCTTTGCACCGACTTGAGCGATGCTTAAATCACAGTTGCCATATATTCATGACTGTGACATTTAAATATTTGATAGTGTTTCTCTTATTTCTAACGAACATACTTTCTCAAAGCTTAGTATTTTTTTAAAGCAAATGTTTGTGCTTTTTTCAGATTAACAAGAAATACCATATCTACTCTTTTCAATTGAAGATGGGTAACTTTATATTAATAAAGGTATTGACAGTTGTATTCATCGTATCGCTGGTAGAGGAATTCACATTTCTTGAAGGCACTTTAATGAATAAAAATTGGCTTATTACACAAAAGACAACGCCTTCATTTCATTTAACAAAATCAACAACTGAAGGAAATGGTGAACATTTTTTGACTCCACCTGCTCCTGATCAAGAGTATGTCAGAGAGGATTCGGTTACTTTCTTTCCTGAACCATTCTTTCCTAGTTCAGTCCAAGATGATTCGCACGTAGAAAATGTTTTTTCAATTGACGTTGAAGCACCGATTAGAACCATGCTGTCCTTCTGTCAAACTACACAAACCTGCCAACATGATAACATAAAACATAGTTTTGAAAGAGGTGGTGAATGCTGTCTACCTTGCGATTGTTCTGAACGTTGCTACGCTGCCGGTAATTGTTGCCTAGATATGACTAACGGATCTCGGTATCTCCACAATCAAGATTCACCTTTATCTACTACAGAAGAAACATGTGCCAACATAGTTGTTTCTGGCGCCGGTTACAATAGTAAGACTTATATAAACTCAAGTTATATGCTCATTCAGAACTGCAATGATGATGTAGAGTATCAATTGAGGGAGAAATGTTTGCGCCCAAACGTGTTTGACCTTGAAGAAATGATACCTGTTTTTAGTCAAAGAACAAATCGGCATTACAGAAATGTGTTTTGCTCAAAGTGCAACAATGATTCGAAAAATCTTGAATGGTGGCAAACGCAAATGATCTGTAATGTAACAATAACTTCATCATATGGGTTCCCGAAACTGTTTGGGGTTGAAAACTTTTCAATTTTAGATTTCATTTCAACTAATCCTAACTGTGCACTGATTTGGACCCCACCAACAAACGTAGGGAAAGCAGATCGTTGCTTTCTTGAGGAAAATACTGTGTCAGACTGCAACAATCCAATCCTTGACAACCTATGTAAACACTACTATGCACCAGTTAAAAGTGGTAACGTCATTTATAGAAATGTGTTTTGCATGGAGTGCGTGATCCCTTCCGGTTTAACAGGTGTTTACCCGGAATGCTCAAATCTGATATTTGGCTTTTCGGAGGTCCCGTTGATATCCATGTTGTCGCTGAATGTTGATCAGCAGGTACCTTCAAAGACTAGCATTTCAGAAGTGAATGGTTGTGATTTTCCAAAAAAGTACAATAATGAGCTAGTAAGTGGTGCTTTCCTTCCGTTAAAATGGAGTTACTATCTATCATGCACGTTGAATTCAATATCTAGTTAAAGAATAAAATAAAGTATTCTTAAACTGACTTTTAAAATCCTATAATACCGAGTTAAGGCGAAAACCCGTTCAAGATTTATTAAGTTTTTGTTGTATTTAAATAATTAGTAGGCAGCATGTTTAAAAAGCATTATTTTATCATAATTGACACATATGTTATTATATACCAATGTGATTTAGAATTTTTTTCTAGTTTACATTTAAACTGATATATATCATACTACCACGCTTAGAAAGCACAGGGCATCGGCAGAAGGTTTGAAGACATGGGATGGTGTACTGTGGACCAGCTGCCGATGTCCTGATTAATGCCGAGGGAATTGGCACTACTAAGTAGGATAAGACGACGAAGATGGCATGCTAGAGTGAGCCCTTAGCACGGATAGACGGTTTAAACGGCAGGCCTTTGTCCGGCACCAACAGCCCTTTTAAGGGCTATCCTTTCATATTGTCTCAGGTTACTGTACATTTAGTTTCTTATTGACCGCCGTACATTGACCTACTTTTGGCTCAAAAATTCATATTTTATGCTATTACTCCGTGGAAATTATATTGACAGAGGTAAACCTCCACTACTTTGTGCTTCAAAATTAATTCTTTAAGGGTATGACTGGTGACAGGACTGGTCCGGGATTTGTACTCGATAGCGAAAGTTGCATTTTGTGACCTTACGGGCGGTTAGACCCTCATTAAGCATAGACTACACATACTCACCAGTCTCAAGTAGTGGTCGGAAACAATATCAAGATACAGTTACACCAAATTTGTTAAAATCTATGAGTGAAACAAACGACACAGAAAATAAACAGACCAAATATCTAACAGTTAATCAGATAGAAAAAAATCATTTTACACATACGGCTGACTGTTGACTGCTGAAATATTATATTTTATCTGACATTTTAAATATTCACATGAAAGTCGTACTGTAGAGACATTTTTGTTTTGTCCGAATTAATAATTATAAAAAAACTTAATTATTTAAATTTCGTTTTACCTAATACTTTAGCTTCTAGAGTAATATAACACTGAAAAGAAAAATATAAATAGTTAATCAAATACTTTTTAAAATGTTATCTGCATTGCCTCGGCGCACCATTTCCAAGGTCGGCGTTACCCAATAAAAAGTGTCATTATCTCATTTTATTTGCTTATTTATTAGTAAAACGATTTTTTCTATTGTTTGGTAAATGCCCTTGGTACACGTGCTACGAGTCAAAACAAAATGAAAGTAAACTTATTTCTGATTTGTTCTCACCGTTGAATCTAATTGCTACTAATTGCCACTATGTTTCAAACTAAAACACAATCAACTACCTTTTAATGTATAATGAACAGTCACACGTTTTAGAGACCACTAATGGAAGCAGCTTAAAGTGTACTTGGTCTTTTTTTGCTGTGGGTAGTTCTTATTTTGGATATATCTACCAGGCATTTACCAAACTATTTGTCTCAACATCAGACACAGTTATAACATACTGGACGTCGATTACATGAAATGAGGAGTGCGGTCCAAGATAGAGCTGCTAGAATTTTAAGAAAATTGTTATCTATCTATGGTAAATATGGACAGACACAGGTTAAATAGAAATTTTTTTAAAGGTCATATTTATGAAAAGGTCGAAACTGTAAAATGTTACAAACTGGAGTTTAAAAGTTTTTTCGAAAAATATGATATGAATAGATGAACTAATATTGATATGGTCTTATCTAGGGTAAAATTTTTAAGAGAATATTACTGGTTGTTTGGTTGCAAGATGTCAATAGAGTAAAAGCCCGTACTGTAATAGGACAAAATAGACTGAGGCTGTATAGAACTATAATAAGAATCATAGAGGGGCCTCAGCAAAATTCATGTGATAAATATCATATTCGCATAGTCTTAAAACGAAACTAGATTTTTTGTACTTGGGGATGCAATTTTTTAAATGAGCAACGGTGATTTTTACTAAATAGTACATCACATCCTACTTTTGTTGTCTTGATACAGGTAAAAATTTCATATCTGACATATATTAGAGTAATTAGAACAAAATCAAGTCCAAATTAGTGCCATATGAGCTAAGTAATCGATTTGTAATTTCCCCGGTTTTGTTTTTGTCAGTACACGATTATATCCTGTGTACGCTACCATACCGTTTGGTATACCGAATGTTATAAACAAAAGGTAACAATTATATGACTCATTTAACCAATAAATATCAACTTTCAAGTGAGCTTCCATAACGAATGTCAGGCCGGGCTTGTTTATAGAATGATCATGAAAAGTAAACGTTTTCGTTTGAATGTTTTAAATGGGAGTTTAATATAATATGTTATAGGTATGCGCAAATTCAATTCTTCCTTCAATTTGACCTGGTTCATTTTCTTGCTACATTTGGCCAAATGTTCGTACAATTTTGGGTTACTATTGCACATTTCACATGTTACTTTTACCCTTGCTTTTCTGTATATAAGCTTTACGATATTTATCGCAAACTCCGTTAAACATAATCGTTATAATGAATATCGGGATTCTTTAAATGTTAAAATTCGCGGGATATTATTGATCATACAAAAAATCTCTGCATCTATATTCTTTTAGTCTTAATGATTTAATCTTGAGTATATGTTAAAGATTTAATTGAAAATGAAACTGATTTACATGTCTGGTGGATCTCTTTTACTAGTTTACTTTAATCATACTTTCTAAAATATCTTACAACTATGACTCATGTCTTTTCAGGAAGCATGTTTTCATTACACATGCGCAGTCACAAAGTTAAATGTAGCCGAAGTTTGCAAACCAGTATTTTCACATTTATCGGGGACACATTTTGAGTACAGGCTAAGGATAATCTACAGGACAAATATAATGGATATGGGGTTGTTACCAGTGGACATATTTGACAGCGATATTATGGCTGTCATGAATTTAGGTAGAAATAAACTTTGTTTTGCTGAAGTCTTAGACTTGAAACAATCACCTGAATCTTTTGAGATAAGTATTGTTTATATAAGGGCTGTTTCAAATGAAAATATCGAGCACGCTTATAATGAATATGTAAAAAGCGTTGAATCTTACAATGAAATGGTAATGGACAACAAAACTACATATCTTCTACAGATTGATAAATCCGGCTTTGAACCAATTGTCGAACATGCCGTGACATTTGAAAAATTCAATTCCAGTTCCACACACATGTGCTTCAACAATATTGCAATGTCCAAACTTCAGTTCTGTGACACAATTACTTTTTATAAGGATGAATTCATTATCCATGGCAACGAGAGTGTCAGTATTGGTTATTTAATGTTTGGTCCGGGTGAATTTGTTCCGAGACAGACGCAGAATGGTACTATCACATCTGTACAAGTATGTTTGGATGACTTTTATACTGCTTACAGAATGATCGACAGGAACTATGACGTAAACTCTGCAGCAGAAAATAGCGGGAGATCTAGGAGCAGAAGTTTGCTTTTAGTATGTGCTTTGATTTTGATTTTACTCCGCCAATATTTTTCAGATTAGCTAGTTCATTATTCAAGATCTGTTTTCGTTTTTGGTTAACTTATTGACAAAGTATCCAAGCTTATATTAAATGTGTGTGAAACAACTTAACTTTACTTTTATGATCTGTGTGAAAGGGATTAGTAGCTTTATATAGGTGGAAACCAATTAAAAACCAATAACATAATTCTTTCAATAATTTAGTCAGTGGAAACCTCTCAGAAAAGGGTTATATAAGTGAACGTTTTTTGTAAATATGCTTCACAAGAAACGAAAGAAATCCACTTAGTATTTTATGTGAATGTGTCTATGTTGTTATATTGATGTTATATATATATAAAAAAACGTGTGTTATTATCTTGTTGTTATTAATTTGAAATGCAAAAGTTGACTCTTTTTAACTTTCCACACTATAAATTGATTTTTGAAATCGAAACGGGCTATAACATACCAAATCATTTAACTAAATAAAGACTATACGTAGACTGGACTACCTTACACTTACACTACTTCCTAAGAAATAGAAGGCAGGAAACTAGAATAGCTTATACAAGAACAAATGTTGATGCAATGCAGCAACTGAAGTTCCGCGTAAAAATGCGCTCATGACAGATACCTTGCCAAATCATTCCTGTTCACAGGTCATTTACTATTAAGATAACTACTGGACCATATTCCGGATGTTATAAATCATTTAAATTTGCATATTTATGCACTATCCATGGGGCCCGGTATTAAAAAGAAAATGTTTACATTGATTCCTACCTGGTTAAAAAATTACAATACAAAACAATGGTACTTACAAGACTTAGAAGACTTGTAATGTAACATGACAGTAGAGCAACATTGTTCTGTTTGCGTCACTTTACAGTATTTAAAGGTGATAATAAAAAAATAATCTTAGCATGTACGTTTTCTTTTACAACTATAACGCTACTCATTTTCGACAAATATAAAAAAACTTATCATATTAATAAGTATCGAAATCAATATGTTTATAAATATATTAAAAACTTAAAAAAAACAATATGTTAATAAATATGTTTAAAAAAAAATTAAAAAATATAAAAAAATAAATTTCATTGACCTTATTTTTCAAAATGTTCGTAACATGTTTCGCGGTAAATGGTGTTGCACCTTAAATGTTATATTTGTACCATAATGATATATATATGTATTTATTCATTTCTATACACGTTTAAACACATGTAGAAATTATCGAATGTTTTTAGCACACACAATTTGGAAATTTTTGGCAGAATCTATTACATTGGTAGGATACTACGTCATCTAGCACTTGCAAATGCTCCCAATCGGACTGTTTTTCTCGACTTATAGATAAAATATTATTTATGCTAAGAAATCGTTAGAATATCGAAAAATAATGTAACTATCAAAGATTGCCTTTGATAATTGAAAAAGTTAAAAAAAACTTTTAAGAAGTCAGTAATTCTTTAAACTTTAAAAAAAAATTATATCAAGTACTATCAATTTTTGGTGCGTTACATACATTATTCTTTTGAATTTCTATTAATTTCATAGAATAAAAAACATATCAAACCTTCGAATTGATGGGATGTTCTCAAAATAAATAAATAAGTAAAAAATAAACAGTCCTGTTGGGAGAAAATGCAGGTGGGCGATGGCGTAGCATCCTGCCATTGTATAAGAAAAGTTTGAAGTGATATTTGACTAATTATGTTTAGTGTCCATTTGATGACCAATCAAATTGCCGCAATTTTTTAAAAAAGCCCTTCTTAAAAGTATCGATGTGCAACTTTTTTCACTTTGTTAAGTCATTCCAAGGAAAGGAAACTTCATAGTATCCTACTGATATACCCCGGGCTATTTGCCTCAGAACAGTTGTAAGTAGCCTTGCTTGCGAAGCAAGGACATGCTCGAATCGCATAACTGGTTCATACTGTTCACTGCGATTATATATTAATAGCTTAGAACAGTTTTCTATTTAAAATAAGATAAAATGTCGAAACAGTTACAATGATCTTATTGAATGCATTTTTGTCAGAGTCACGCGAGCCCTATATAATGAATTACATATATACATTAATGCTAATATAATTATCCGTCTAAAATACATTTATACACCAGAAAGAATTTCGGTGTATATTGTTATGGACCTGGTTGTCCGTCCGTATGTAAGTATGTTTCGTGTCCGGTCTGTATCTTTTGAAACGGCGGAAAGAAATTGAATCAACCTGGCAGAAAAAGTTAACCATAATAGACGATGTGCAGAGTGCAGGTTTGACCCTTCTCAGGTCAAAGGTCACACTAAGTCAATTGTATCAATATCAAACTTTTGTGTGCGCTCTGTATCTATTGAACCGATAGAAAGAAATTCAATATTTTTTAAAGCAGAAATATTACTTAATAATATATTGAGAAGGTGTGCAGAAGTTCAGACATCCTAATATCAAGATTAGCCCCGCCCCGGGAATTAATTGATTATATAGACTTAAATAGGGAGTTTTCGTGTCCGGTGAGTATCTTTTGAACCAGTGGAAGGAAATTGAACCTACTTGGCAAAAATTTTAACCATGAGACGATGTACAGAGCGCAGGTTTGACCTTCCCCAGGTCAAGGTAACACTTATTCATTTTGTTTCAATTTCAAAATTTGTGTCGGCACTGTTTCTGTTAAACCGATAGGAGGAAATTAAATCAATGTAGCAGAAACTTTTATATTACTGAGATGATGTGCAGAGTGCAGTTTTGGACTACCTCGGGTCAAATTTAAGGTCACACTGACTCATTCAAAATCCTTATATAAGTGTTTATATTACAAAGGGAGATTACAGTGTATGAATTTAATTTGTTACCTCCCTTTATTTCCCAAAATCTATTTCTTTATAATGTTTGTTTTTATAAAACTTTATCATATTATATTTATTTTTTTCTGTTAAGATTATAATAATTGAGGAGGTTGTAGGTTTATATGATTCGATTATTTTGAAATAAGACAATCTTATTAATTGAAACCGATGAAGGTATGCATTATAAATGCATGCGATATTCCTTATTTAAAAAATAAAAAATTACTGTATTCGCCTAAATAAATTATCTTTAGAGTTGATTTTTTTACACAAATCATTTACCTGACAATGCCATTTGAGTGTATTTATAATATATATACCAAGTAGTTTTTGTGATACTACATTGTCAAGAGTTGAGTCGTTAATTTTCAAATTCAGTACTTTTGCAATCTTAAGCATACATTTAGACCTTTTAGGATGCAGAAGCATGTTATTTATTTTACACCACTAAATAATCATATAAAGGCTATATTGTAGTTTTTCTTCTATATCTGATATGTCATCTTCAGGTTTATGCAATGTTGAATCACCAGCATCTATGTCAACATTCTCTCAAAATTTTGGGACCTAAAATTGAGTCTTGTGGAACGCCAGAGGTAACATTTTGTACGTCAGATTTTAGGTGTCTAGTATGAATTATTTGCATACGATTAGACAGATACGACGAAAAGGTTTTCATGATGGTACAGAAAAATGATAAAGTTTGAATTTATATAAAAGTATTTCATGGTCAATATGGAAGAACCCTGCAATTGTTCCAAAAATCATTTTACTGATATTAAAAAATGTCTAATTTGTATAATTTGAATAAAAGAATGGATAAGATATGTATTGGAAGCTGCGTTCCTTATTTACAAGTCAAGTAAAGTTAACAACTGCCAGTCTTTTTAATGTCACCATATATTAATAGTGTGACCAGGTAGAATTTCAAACAAAACATATCTACATTGTGTGAAGTCAAAACATTTTTATTTTATATTTACAAAGATACTGTGTAGCAATTCTCAATATTTTCTAATATCAAATTTAAGCATAGTTTATCTTTAAAAACTAACACTATTGTTGTTTTCAAGTATATATGCTCCGTGATAATTGCTTGGAGGTTGTGTTGTCACTTACTGATAACAACAATAATGTTGGTTTTTCAGTAATAAAATATATATACTCCATGACAATTGCATTGAGGTAAACGCCGACCGTTTAGCTCAATGAATCGAGCGACCCGGGTTCGATACCCGGACGGCGCAGGTCAATCGCACTGTACCTCTGCTCTGGTATGTACAGAAGTTTCAGTTCATTGCGAAAGTGAAGGCAACTCGTACTGATAAACTGTCTGACGGCCTGCACAGGAACGATGCGGTAGCTTAACTGTGCTCTGGAAAACTCAGTCTGGCTTACTGCCGTGATCCGGAGTGAAAACTACCAACACCACCACCACCATGGACGTAAATTATCACAAATCTGTGCTTCAAAATTAGCTCTTTAAGGGCATTACTTGTGACATGTCTGCGGTCTGTACTCAACAGCGAAAGCTGTACATAGCATATATAATTATCACTAAGTATTAATGTGACAAGAGCATGACTTGACTTGACTTGAAGTATATATCGTTATGATTTAGAGCATGGTGGTCATGTGAAACAGGAGTAAAGATACCGCTAACGGAATTTCTAAAGTAATCAATATCATATATATTTACTCTCCTCTTGGTACTGCACTTTATTTTATGTCAAACAGAAATAACACATTATAGTTCTGACTGCTTACCGATGTCAGACGTTTTGACGTTTTACTACAGATACTCAACAATTTCGATTATACATACATGTTTTTACAAATTTCCAAAAGTGTGGAATGTGGATTGGCAAAATAAAGTCCGGATTTCTTCTGTTATTTTCGAAAGCTTATATGTTTTTTGTTTTATAAAAACGCTATAGACCAATTTTTATGCTTGAACAAGGGATATTCTTTTTGAGTAAAAATACATTATATTTTTTGTTCAAGTGGTTTGTTAACTGCTACTTTTAACCTTTTTCATATAAATTTACTAGCAATTGGTGTAGTATTGTGTAAACGTGCAGCAAATGTGCATGTAATTCCATAATGACGCATTTTAGTCTATTTGTGTCTGATTCCAAAGATTTGACCCAAACAGTCAAACTGCACTCTTACTAATGTAGCGAGTTTTCTTTCGCGTTTTAATCAAGATAACAGCTCTGTAAGAAGGTAATTGGGCAAAATGATGCACCGTCCCATTGTAGATCTAAACAAACACAACACAGCTTGATTTACTCAGAAGTGTCTCCATTATATTTATGTTCGTTTCAGCCATTTTGTATGATTATTTACAAGTGCTTTTGATTAAAGTGAATTTATCGGCTAGTATTGCAGTTATCATCGAGATGTTGAAATGACCTTCATAAGCCTCTCCTGGCTTTGGAATATATCTGTGTAGTATTGATTTTGACATATGTCGCTACCAATCACCTTGCTTAACCTGTAAATTAT